CGCATGCCTGTAGTCCCAGCTACTCAGCAGGCTGAGGCAGGAGGATCTCTTGAGCCCAGGAGTTGGAGGCTGCAGTGAGCTAAGATGATGCCACTGCGCTGTAGCCTGGGCAACAGAGTGAGATCCTGTCAAAAAAATGCTGTGGCTCTTTGCGGTGTGAATGCCCGTTTCTGGGGCAGGCTCTGGACTGGGGCCCTATAGGGACCCTGGCTCAGAGAGAAATCTGTTTGTTTCCCAGTGCCACCGTCAGGGAGCCCCACCCGGGGACAGGCATCCTTTCACCATATGCTCATAGGACAGGCAGGAAGGACTTCACATGCGCCTTCCTAGGAGTTTATTTTAGGGTTGCCTCCCAGCCTCTCCGAGTTGAGGCCGATGGAGCGCAGGAGCCTGGCAGCAGGGCCACACAGGCGGGCCAGGCAGCGCTGTGTCTGTCGAGCAGGGCGGAGCGTGCCAGGAGCTAGGCTGAGGCTCATTTTCTGCGGGAGCTCCCACCGCAGACCTGCAGGTTCTCCTAAAGGTGTAAGGATGTGAGGGGACAGCGCGCTGAGAGTTCATAGGTTGTACTTCAAAGAAAACACCGATTCTATGGCTACACTTTGGGGAACTGGAGAGTAAACCCAGAGAGACAGCTTTCTTTCCCAAAGGATTCTTCGGCGTCTACGGGCGGTGCCCAGGGGAGCCCTCATAGAGGGGTGAAGGGCCCAGCGAGCCCCACACCACCCTGCCCTGCAACCCTCTGGCTTCCGTCTCTATACATCAGTGCCTTCCAACCAGGGCAATTTGGCGATCTCTGGGGACACTTTTTGGTCATCCCGGCTGCTACTGGCATCTGGTGGGTTAGGCCAGGGATGCTGCTCAGCATAGGCTGCAGTGCACAGTACACCCCATAGCACACGGTGGCCCAGCCCTACGAGTCCTGTAGTCACTCAGGAGAGCAGATGTCACCAAGCAGGGTGTAGACATCACCCAGCCACCAGCCGAGGACCAGCGCCTGCTGGTTCTCAGTGGCCGTCCAGCCCCCAGGTTTAATCAGCCCCTCCAGAGACTTTCCAGAAGTCAGCAGGTCAGGGCCAGGTGCAGTGGCTCATACCTGTAGTCCCAGCACTTTGGGAGGCTGAGGCGGGAGGATCGCTTGAGCTCAGGAGTTTGAGGCTGCAGTGAGCCGTGATCATGCTACTTCACTCCAGCCTGGGCGACAGAGTGAGACCCTGTCTCAAAAAAATAATAAAAAACTCAGCAGGCCAACAAAGCCCATGTGGAGATGCATCGCCAAGCGCCCAGGTGCTGCCGGACCCTGAACAGACTCCGCGTTCTCTGTAAGGGACCGGGTCACCTCTCTGGCGCCCCCACTTTACCACTTTCCTACCTACTGACTTGGCCCAAGTGTGACTCGAGCCCCTTCCGTTCACTTGTCCCATGACCTAATTAGCCGATGCCTTGAGAAGCGTGACCCACATGTGAGTCCAAACACGGCCACTATCCGGCTCCAAGCTCTGCCCGAGGCCTCGTGCCTCTGAACGGAGCCATTCTCCAAGGAAGCATCTGGGCCTTCCACAATCAGATGCTTTTTTATGGGGCTTCCCCCTTTAGGCTGCCACACAAAAGCTTCCCCTCCTCACCCACCCAGGCTGCCATAATGAAATAGTTACTGGTCACTTAGGGGCAGGGATATGTTCTGAGAAATGCGTTGTTAGGCAGTTTCATCGTCACGAGAACATCGCAGGGTGTACTCAAACAAACCTGCGCAGTGGAGCCTCCTCCACACCTGCACCGTGTGGCGCAGCCTGTTGCTCCTGGGCTAGAAACCCAGACGGCATATTATTGTCCTGAATGCAATTGTAACACGATGCTAAGTGGTAAATATTTGTGCATCTCAACATAGAAAAGGTACGGTAAAAATACGGTATTGTGATCTTTTTTTATTTTTTTTTTTAAGAGACATCTCCATCTGTTGCCCAGGCTGGAGTGCACGGGTACGATCGTAGCTGCCTGCAGACTGGAACTCCTGGGCTCAGCAAATCCTCCCGCCTCAACCTCCTGAGTAGCTGGGCCTGCAGCTGGTGCACACCACCACGCCCGGCTAATTTTCTAATTTTTTGTAGAGACGGGGGTCTTGTGTTGCCCAGGCTGGTCTCAAACTCCTGGGCTCAATCAGTCCTCCTGCCTCAGCCTCCCAAAGTGCTGAGATTATAGATGTGAGACACCGAACCCAGCCCAGTATTATAATCTTAGGGACCACCGTTACATATTGCAGTGCGTCCTTGACTGAAACTTTATTGCGTGGCAGGTAACTGTAGCACATAAACTGGGTGGCTGAAACAACAGGAATGTGTTTCTCACAGTTCTGAAGAGTGGAAAGTCCAAGATCAAGGCACAGGCAGATTCGGGGTCCTGCAAGGGCCACTTCCTTGTACATAGATGACGTCTTATTCCCTATGTCCTCACATGGTGGCAGGAGGGAGGGGGCTCTCTGGGGTCCGTTTTATAAGGGCACTGGGACGGACACAGAGGCTGACGCCTATAATCCCAGTAGTTTCGGAGGCCAAGGCAGGGGGATTGCCTGAGGCCAGGAGTTCGAGACCAGCCTGAGCAACAGCGAGACCCCATCTCTACTAAAAATAGAAAAATTCGCCAGGCGTGTTGGTGTGCGCCTGTAGTCCCAGCTACTCAGGAAGCTGAGGCAGGAGGATCATTTCAGCCCAGGAGTTGGAGGCTGCAGTGAGCTAGGCTGATGCCACGGCACTCTAGCCCCAGCGACAGAGCAAGACCTTATCTCAAAATAATAATAATAATAAAGGTACTAATCCCATTCCCGAGGGCTCCACTCTCATGACCTCATCACCTCCCAAAGGCACCTCGTCCTGACCCTGTCATCCTGAGGGTGAGGATTCAACATACGACATTGCGGGGGACACAGACATGAAGTCTGTGACAACCAGTGTCCATCCCACTGTGGAGCACAACCTTCGAGAAAATCCCATCTGCTCTCAGCGTCAGCGTGTGTCCTGGTGTCTGACGCCACCATGTGCTTGGCAGCCTCCCCGCTGGCCCCCGCCGAAACGGGGCCTTGGCAGTGGCCTGGCCGCCTCCTTCCCACTGGCCTTGCTTTCTTCCAGTCTCCCTGGGCAACTCGGCCTCTCGAACAGCAGCACTGCTGCTGCCAAATTTCCCTTTTTGCGTGTGACTCTGGGGCGTGTGCCCTCCACCTCCATACCCGCCATGTCACCCCATCCCTAGCCCCTGGAGCCACAAGGGCTTGGATAGTGGAACACCAGCCCCAGGACCAGCTCTTCCTCCTCTCCCCTCATCTGCCGGGCCCCGTGGCCTCCACACTGCCAGCCTCACCTTGTCCTTTCTCTCCCAGAAGCAGGCAGCCCCCCACTCCCACCTCCTCCCAACTCATTCATGCTGCCCCCCAGCACCTGCCCTGTCTTAAGCCCTCTGGGGCAGTGGGCAGGAACTGAGCAGGGAGAGGATGTCCTCTGTCCTCATCTGGGTGATGGTTACACGGGAGGCAGCACGGGGGACCCCAGCGAGCCACACGCTCCATACACTGCGCACACTTCCCTGTATATAAGGATTCCTTGGTACAGGGTGAAAAACTGGCCTCGTGACAAAGGCAGGAAGCACTGACACCTGCCACCACGTGGATGAGCCTAGAAAACACGATGCTGAGCAAGAGAAGCCAGACATGAATGGCACACAGTGTGTGACTCCATTTGTGTGACGTGTCCAGAACAGGCCGATCCACAGAGACAGGAAGCAGACTTGTGGCTGCCAGGGGCTGGGGGAGGGGGATGGGGAGTGACTGCTGATGAGGACGGGGTCTCCTTTTGGGGGGATGAGAACATTCTGGAACTAGACAGAGGTGGAAGTTGCACAGCATTGTGAATGTGCTAAGTGCCACTGAATTGTCTGCTTTAACACGGTGAATCATACGTTATTGTTAGTTTTACCTAAGTTAAAATAAATTGCTCTGTGAACCACTTGTCTTTCTGTCAACTGTAAAACTCCTCTGACATGACCCTCACCCCCATCGGCTCCCTCACACCTGCCTGGTGCCCGGCAGAGAGCCCAGAGTTCAGATCAGCCCAGGGGCTCCAGAGTCTCCCCAGAAGGGCCACATAGTCACTATTTCCATCCGTGCAGACCAGACGGGCTCTGTCGCAGCACACGCAGACAGGGCTGATGTGTGCAGATAAAACTTCATTTGTGGACACCAAACTGTGAATAGGATTTTTACATGTCAGGAAATATTCTTTCTTAGGTTTTGTTGTTGTTTTTGGTGTTTTTTAACAATTTACAAATGTAAAAACCATACTTGGCTTGCAGGTAGTACAAAAACAGGCAGCGGACCGATTTGGGTCATGGGCTGTGGTTTGCCATATGGGATGAACGATTATAACTGGAAAAGAATTTGGCGATTGGCATTTTTAATGTCAAAGACTTACAATGTGAGCATTTCACACAACCACGGACATAGAGATAGAGAGTAAAATCAGCTTGGCACGGTGGCTTGCGCTTATAATCCCAGCACTTTGGGAGGCCGAGGCGGCAAGATCAGTTGAGGCCAGTTTGAGAGCAGCCTGGGCAACACAGTGAAACCCCATCTCTACAAAAACATTTAAAACATTAGGCGCACCCCTGTAGTCCCAGCTACTCAGGAGGCTGAGGCAGGAGGATCGCTCGAGCACAAGAGTTCAAGGCTATAGTGAGCTGTGATTGTGCCACTGCACTCTACCCAGAGCGACAGACAGATTGAGACCCTGTCTCCAGGAAAAAAAAAAAAAAGTGAAATATCAGCGTGTACCTTGGCTGCACACCTCTGCGTTTTCCAGTTTTTATCTGGGCTTGAGTGACTGGAACATGCAGAGGTGTGCAGCCGAGGTACTTGCCAATGCTTTACTCTTTTTTTTAAGAGCCTGGAGGCTCCAGGTTTGAGGCCTGTGGACATTCCATCGTAATGATCTGAAAACCTGTCTTTGTTTTCCCGGCAGGCTTTCGGAAACGCCAAGACAGCCCACAACGACAACTCCAGCCGATTTGGGAAATTCATCCAGGTCAACTACCTGGAGAGCGGCATCGTGAGAGGGTGAGTTGACATCCTGGGGGTCCCGTGGGTGGGCGCGCCCCTCAGCCCCATGCTGTTACTTCCTGACATGCACATAGTCGCAGGAATCATGGCCGTGCAGACATCTGAGCATCATGCAGGACAGTGAGTGTGATTTTAAGTCTTCGAGATGAAGGTCTGAACGGGGAGTTGAGGTCAGAAATGTGGGTGGGTGGAGGGCGCGGTGGCACCGCTGGAGTAAGTGCACCTGGCTGCGGGCACTAGTGCAGTGGGTTTAGTGCGGTGGGTTTAGCAAGGGCAAGCAAGGACAGCCCAGTCTCTTTCCTGGTCTTGACAAGGTTTCTAATTTGGTGGGTCTGGGGGTGTCACAGGCAGAATGAATGTGAACTCTGGCACTTGCAGAGCATGAGCCTCTGTAGCCAGAAAGAAATGTGATGCTGGGTAGCAAGCGAGGCGGTCATCCACGGAAACACCGAAGCGTGGACGGACTTCATTGGTGGATGGGTAGATTCATGGGTAGGTGGATGGATTCGTGGGTGGATGGATTCATTGCCAAATGGGTAGATTCATTAGTAGGTAGAAGGATAAATGGGTAGATTTGTGGGTGGGTGGATGGTGGATGGATCGATTCGTGGTTAGGTGGGTGTGTTGATCAGTGGATCCATTGATGGGTGGGTGGATGAGTGCGTAGATGGCATCGGCAGGGTCTGGGGCCTGGCTGCTCACCACAGTCCTCCCCCCACTGCGGACTCTAACTGGCTCATCTGAGTGGGATCGTGCAGTATTTGTTCCTTTGTGTCTGGCTTAGTCCACTCAGCAGAATGTCCTCAAGCTTCATCTATGTTGTAGCACGTGGCAGAATTCGCTTCCTTTGTAAGCCCAAGTAATATTCCACCGTGCGGTTCTACCCCACTGTGTTTATCCACTCACCCGTTGCCCGGCGCCTGGGCTGTTTCTACCTTTTGGGTGCTGTGAATAAGGCCGCTGTGAACATGGGTGTACAAATACCTCTTGAGGATCCTGCTGTAATTCTTGGACCTCAAAGAATATACCCGGCAGTGAACTTGCAGGATCGTTTGGTGATTCTGAGTTCAGTGTTTCTGAGGAGTCGCTGTAGTGGTTCCACAGCAGCAGCGCTGTTCGTGTTCCCGTCGATAGCGCACAAGCGTCTCCGCCCCTTAATTTTTATTTTTTTCTCCCACAAGTCCACATTTTGCTTGATTGTATCTGCCACATTGCAAAGATTTTGACCTACAGGAGGTACCCAGACTATCTTGTTGGGCAGGTGACACAGATACTGTTTCTACAGTTATTTTAATTTATTTATTTATTCATTTTCGAGACAGGGTCTCACTGTCACCCAGGCTGGAGTGCAGTGCTACGATCACAGCTCACTGCAGCCTTGAACTCCTGGGCTCAAGCGATCCTCCTGCCTCAGCCTCCCGAGTAGTTGGCGCTACAGGTGCCACCACCACACCCAGCTAACTTTTGCATTTTTCGTAGAGACAGCATCTCTCTGTGTTGCCCAGGCTGATGTCGAATTCCTGACCTCAACCAGTCCTCCCACCTCAGCCTCCCAAAGTGCTGGGATTACAGGCGGCAGCTACCACGCCAGACCACCAGGGGTTCCCTTCAGAAGAAGCTAAGAGGCTGTGCCCCAGTGGGCACTGCACCCTCCTCTTGCACATGGCCTCAGTGTCCTAGGGCTGCCATAAGAGAACATGACAAACTGTACTGCCTGAACAACAGGAATTTATTCTCTCGTGGTCTCAGAGGCCAGAAGTCTGCGATCAAAGTGTCCGCAGGGAGGGTTCCTTCTCAGGGCTCTAGGGGAGGGCCCTTCCTTCCCTCTTCCAGCTTCTGGTGGCTCCAAGTGCTCCTTGGCTTGTGGTTGCTCGCTTAAGCCTCTGCCTCCATCTTCACGTGGCCTGTGGTCTCTGTGTGCCTTTCCCCTTCTCCTGTGAGAATACTCGTTACTGAATTTAGGGCCCACCTAGATCCCTAGGGATGATCTCGAGATGATTCCCTCTGCAAAGACTCTTCCCAAGTAAGGCCACATTCACAGGTTCTGGGGTGTGGACATGCCTTCCAGGGCCACCGCTGGGTCCAGGACACAGCAAGGACTGGCCTGGCCCTCGGCCAAGTGGTCCACCCACCCTGCCAGCCACAGGCTCCCGTCAGGTTCAGGACCAGTGGCCCTCAGTGGCTGGATCTCCCACACCAGCTTTTGAAAGTTCCATCCATGGCCTTGGATTCAGGACAGGAAGTCCCATCTCCAGCCCCGACCATGGCCCAGGCAGGGACACACACTTCCTGTCCTGAGAGCAGCCACAGCCACCTCGCAAGGAGCAGGCTCAGACCCAGTTCTGCTTTTGTCCACTTTGGGGCAGGTGACACTTCCCAGTGCCATTTCCCACTGAGGCCAAGGGTCAGGAGCAGTCCGAGCCTACCCCCAGTTCCCTAATTTGTGAGGCTTTGGCTTCCTGTGTGTTCACGGACTTGGTGCCAGGGGATCCCTGGCTCCCTGCAAGACCCCTTTATTAGAGGCCCAGGCCTTGAAAATGATCAAGAAGGAGTTGGGCGCAGTGGCTCACGCCTATAATCCTAGCTACTTGGGAGGCTGAGGTGGGAGGATGGCTTGAGGCCAGGAGTTTAAGACCAGCCTGGGCAGCATAGCAAGACCCCATCTCTTAAGAAGAAAAAAGAAAGAAAGAAGGAAAATGATTGGGAAAGGGACAGGGCCATCATCAGTCAAATGACAATTCAGTGCCAAACACCTGTGGCCAGCCTATTTTCCTGCCATTGTGGGGTTGTATCCTACCCCTACCCCTACAGACAGACATATCACAAGGAAAACTGGCCACAGGTTGAGATTCAACATTGAGTTTGATTCTAGAACCAGATGCAGCCTCCCTCCCCAGGAAATCAGACTGAGGAAAGGTGCTGAAATTGAATGGCTACTAGGTGGGAGAAGGAATAGAAGAAAATGTTTTTTCTCCTACTTTGAAAGAAAGGAGGACCCAGGCCGGGCCACTGGAAACCTACCTGTGCATGTTTTATGTCCCCGTGGGGGCCTACAAATGACTGCCATCCTGGAGAGAGAGGCAGGCCGTGTCCATCAAGCCTAGACTGAGGAATCCATGCTGTCCCCAGGCCCTGCCACCCCTCAGGCACCAGCTGAGTCTCCTGTATAACGAGGAAGGGCTCAGACAAGGGTGGTCTGTAGGCCCCACCCAGCTCACACACCTGGCGATGGGGGAACCCTCAGGAGCCTGGCCCCTCTAGACCATGACAGCCCCGGTGGTTGTAGAAGGAGCCCACTAGGCCACCTCCCTCCTACAGGGTCTTGGACAGCATGCCTTAGCTCCGTGTCCACCATTGGGAGCCACCGTGGCCACCCCAGCGGGTAGGGAGATTCCCTGAGAAACGCTTTGAGTGACATCTAGAACCTAGTCCTAGTGGGTCCTTACGAAACATTCGCCGTCACCATGGTTAGTGCTGAGAGAGAGTGTGACTGCGGAGATGCCCGGGCCCCTGCTCCAGCTCCCTGAGACACAAGGTCCCACATGACACCACATGCCTCCCGAGGGGCTGTGAGAACTTCATTTGGAGGAAACACGTTAACTGCTTGGCACAGAGAAAACAGTCAGTAAATGGCGGAACACCAAACTGTCTGAATACAAGCAAGTATTGCCATGTGTCAAAGAGCCCTGCTCTGAATTCAAAAGACACTGTGACGGAAATGAAAAAGCAAGGCCCAGACCCAGAGGAGGGACCTGCATGTCATTGACCCAGCAAAGGACTTGTGTCTAGAATACATAAAGGGCATTTACAACTCAATAACAGGACCAAAAACCCAATAATAAAATAGGCAAAAGACAGGAGTTCAACGCTATGGTGAGGTATGATCACGCTGCTGCATTCTAGCCCGGGGGACAGAGCAAGACCCTGTCCATGAGATAAGATAAAATAATAATACAGGCAAAAGACTTCAAGAGACACTTCCTCAAAGAGATGTGAGTGACAAGCACATGAGAGGGTGCTGCATGTCGTCAGTCTCGGGGAAATGCAAATCAGACTGCAGTGAGCTATCGCTCCACCCCCACGAGGATGCCTAGAACCAAAAAGACAGATGCTAGCGAGTGCTGGCGAGGGTGTGGAGAAATTGGAACCCTCATACACCCCGATGTAAAATAATGCAGCTGCCTTGGAAAACTGCTGGGCAGTTTCTTAAAAAGTTGAACATAGAATGACCATGTGACCCAGCAATTCCTCTCCTAGGTATTAGCCCTGGAGAAATGGCAACCTACATCGACACAAAGACTTGTGTGCAGGTTTCTGCAGCAGGATCATTCAAGGTAGCTAAAGGCTGGAAACAACCCAAAGGCCCACCAACAGCTGTATGGGTGAACACAATGCGGCCCATCCACGTGGCGGAATATTATTCAGCCGTTAAAAAGGATCGAAGCGCTGTGCCGTGCTTCTGTCAACTGAGAAATCACAAGGTCCGTAAATCTGGAAAGGAGACTGTACTTCTTATAAAGGGTTAGAGCCTGCAGTGTGGCCGTCCTGACCAGCGTAACTTCCAAGAGAGGCCCTTCGAGGAGCAGAAGACAGAGCTAGGATTTATGCTGAGTGGCTCGGCTACGTATGCATGTTCACCAGATTCTAGGAGGAGCTAGAAATATTCGTGAAGGGGGTTCTACGGTGCGCATCAAACACACATGCGTGTTCCGTGCGACCACGTTCACTTTGGGGTGGAGACTCCACATCGAAATGTGTGACAGTTAAGCCCTGTACATCAAATGGCACAGGAGGAACACGAAGGCGCTTAGTGCCCCATCTCTGTAAACCAGCCAGAGCCAGTCTGTGGTCTCCTATCAGGAAAAAGTTACTAAAATCAGCCTCCTATCCAGTCCTGGCTGTAGTTATGGCTTGTGGAACAGAGGAGTGGGAGTCAGTGAATTGGCATCTGTTGGTGAATGGGCTGCAATGGTTTTAATATCACTTATCTCGAAGCCAGTGCTTGTTTAGCTGCTAGACGAAAGGAAAAACCTCGTGACAGTTAGAACATAGTTAATTCTTTAAACGTAGAAGTGCGTGACTTAGCCCTGGTCTGGCATGGCCTTAAGTCCTGTTTTTAATTTGGTGTCTAATTGCCACGAAGAGTCCATCTTGCTAGTCTTATGATCTCCATCTTAACGTTAATACTGGCCACTTTTGTCCAAACTGGAAAAGGGAGGGGGTATAACGAGGCGCATCTGACCTCCCATTCCGTCATGGCTGGGAACAGAGTAGTTAAGGTTTCTCTGGGGTTCCCTGGACCAAGAAGGGGTCCATTCAGTCAGTTGGATGGCTTAGAATTTTTTTTTTTTTTAAGACAAGGTCTCTCTCTGTCGCCCCAGCCAGAGTGCAGTGGCATTGTCACAGCTCACTGCAACCTCGAACTCCTGGGCTCAAGCGATCCTCCTGCCTCAGCCTCCCCAGTAGCTGGGACTACAGATGCACCACCACACCGGCTGACGTCAGTTTCTTGGTTGAGACAAATGTGCCCTGAAAATGTATGGTGTTCATATTCAGGGGAAAAAATGTTTTTAATTGGAGAAACATTTAATGCCTGAGGAGATGGTAGGATCCAGGGCAACCTTCCTGTATGTGATCAAGTGGGTAGAATCATTGCTGTCCCTGCCCACCTAGGGGTGGGTCTCACATGATGCCATGTTGGGCTTCTGTGTCTATCCATCGGCCAGAATGTGGTCTGGGGAGAAAAAGGGGCCAGCCCAGGTTCCTTATTTTTATAGATTGTAGTCAAAGGGCAAGGCAACGTTTAGGATGATTACATTTATACAGCATGTATTTACATTGTTCGAAAGGAAATTAATTTGTAGCTGACTGTACCATGGTACTAAATACTGTACAAAACACAGTTCTACACACTGGGCACAGTGGCTGATGCCTGCAATCCCAGCAGTCTGGGAGGCTGAGGCAGGAGGATCACTTGAGACCAGCCTGGGCAACATAGTAAGACCCCATCTCTACAAAAAGTAAAAGTTAGCCAGTCGTGGTAGTTCATGCCTCTGTAGTCCCAGCTACTCAGGAGGCTGAGGCAGGAGGATCACTTGAGCCAGGAGTTTGAGGTTGCTGTCAGGTTATCATGATGCCACTGCACTCTAGCCCAGAATGACAGAGCGAGACTCTGTTTCAAAAAAATAAAAAACATAGTTATTTAAGAAAACAATTTTAATAATACTAAAATGTAACATTTTATTCCTGCTTTTTTTCTTTTAATGACAGAGCTGTCGTCGAAAAATATCTGCTTGAAAAGTCTCGCCTGGTCTCTCAGGAGAAGGATGAGAGGTAGGAGGATGTTTGAATGCCGCACCGTGTCTGCGTTTGTTCCTACAACGGGGAGAAGCAAATGTCCTGAGGTCCAAGGACCTTTAGGGGAGGCCATGGAGGCTGTCACAGGAGGGGGCCTGTGACCTCAAGCTTTGTGTCCATACCTCCTCCTAAGCCACCTGTTTGTGCCTCCTCCTAAAACTTTCTAAGGAGGCTGGGCAAGGTGACTTATGTCTATAATCCTAGCACTCTGGGAGGCCAGGTGGGAGGATCACTTGAGGCCAGGAGATCAAGACCAGCCTGAACAAGAGCAAGACCCCGTCTCTAGTAAAAATATTAAAAACTAGCCGGTCTTGGTGGCGTGTACCTGTGGTCCCACCTACTTGCAAGACTGAGGCAGAAGGATCACATAAGCCCAGGAGTTTGAGGTTGCTGTGAGCTAGGCTGACGCCACTGTACTCTACCCTGGGCAATTGAGTGAGACTCTGTCTCAAAAAACAACAAAACAAACAAAAAAACCTGAGGGTTTTACCCTCAGTATGTGCTCAGATGTCTGCCCACAATGTGATTAGATTAGAAGAAGAATTCCTGATTGACAAATGAGACAAACTCATTCACCCTCAGTCCCTCAGAAATCTGTTTACTTGAGAAGTCTGTTTGATTTTTTAAAGACATAATAAGAATTGACTTATTGTTTTAAATGTGTACGTATTTGAGGTGCTTTTTACTCCTTGGTGTGGTCTCCAAAGCAAATTAGTAGTGGTTTGAAAAGTAGCTATTGCGTGGCCTCCAAAAACGACTTTATTCCTCCTAATTTTGACCCACAGGAACTACCACGTGTTTTATTATTTGTTACTTGGTGTCAGCGAGGAAGAGCGCCAAGAATTTCAGCTCAAGCAGCCTGAAGATTATTTCTACCTCAACCAGGTAAACAGCCCCGAGCCCCAGCCACAAACGCCACTTCTGTTCCCAGCCACGGCTGGAAAGTCAGAGGCTGCCTGCCTCGGCCCTGAGGCTCCAAGGCGGTGGCATAAAGGATCCCATTCATTCCCAGAGTCCTGGGCCTGGCCTCGTCACTTCCAGCCAGAATCACTTTCACACACCACCCTGGCCTGCCCAGAAACACTCACGCTGCCAACGCCTTTGTTTTTCAGCATAACTTGAATATTGAAGATGGGGAAGACCTGAAGCACGACTTTGAGAGACTCAAGCAGGCCATGGAGATGGTGGGCTTCCTCCCTGCCACCAAGAAGCAGTAAGTGAGGGGGCCAGGGGCCGCCGTTCCACCATGGCCTACAGGGGGTGCCCTTGGCTCTTCCTGGTCACTCTGAGATCTGACCCACAACCCAGCAGAAAACCGGCAAGTCCCAAACAGAGCCACCCTAAGGGTAGCCCAGTAACAATGAGCAACTCAAGCCATTAATCATTTGATTCCAGTCAAAACCAATACGAATATACTTAACGCTGCTGAACTGTCCACTTGAAAATGGTTAAGGCAGACTGGGCACAGTGGCTCATGCCTATAATGCTAGCACTTTGGGAGGCTGAGGCAGGAAGATCGCTTGAGGTCAAGAGTTCAAGACCAGCCTGAGCAAGAGCAAGACTGTCTCTACAAAAAAAATAGAAAAATTAGCCTGGTGCGATGGTGCGCACCTGTAGTCCCACCTCCACTCCGGGAGGCCAAGGCGGGAGGATCATTCAAGGTCAGGAGTTCGAGACCAGCCTGAGCAAGAGCGAGACCCCGTCTCTACTAAAAATAGAAAGAAATTAGCTGGAAAACTA